GATTGTGTGGAATATAGCCTGTGCTCTCTATAGGCGATCACTCTCACAAATATTTCATTCTGACATTTCCACAAGCTTATGCCTATCGCAGAAGTAAAAACATGACGACGTCAGTCATTTACGACGATGACAGTACTCCACTCATAAGATGAAAGCCAAGCCCTTCATGCAATGTACATGTGCTATACATCCATCACCGAGATAATTCATCACCACCAGTTCTCAGACTTCCCTATTTGGAATAAACATCTGACACCACTAGGATATGTTGAAATCAGTCTGAAAGGAAATTGTAGAGATTTGGCATGCAGGGGGTAAAGCATAAAAATCCTATCAGCACCTATTTAAAGATTATTGTGGACTGCATGATTCCTGCACCATTTTTAGCTAGAGAGATGGTTAGGCATTCACCGTCTCTCAGTAGAGCACTCATGGTTCCCTTAAAAACTACAAGGATGGAGCTGGAAGCCTAAAGAATGCTCTCCTTTGGATTATTGAAAGGAATGAATCACAAAGAGACTGTTACAATTGCAAAGACACACTGTTACCAGCAATTCACTCAGAGGCAGTTCTTCATAAAATTCAGAGTGAATGGTCGACGAATGGATGGCGGAAAGCAAAGCAACTGCATCTTAAGACCATCACTTGGATTATTTATCAAACCATGCAGGGGTAAAGCTAACGTAACGGAGAAGCTGATAAGCTCGCAGATGAAGCTCATTTGTCCAAAACGTTTTCATGGACTTGGATTATTTATCAAACCATGCAGGGGGTAAAGCTAACGTAACGAAGAAGCTGATAAGCTCGCAGATGAAGCTCATTTGTCCAAAAAGTTTTCATGGACTTGGAAATACTGGAAACAAAAGTATCATATGGTGTAGCTAGAAAAAGCAAAATATGGGAAATCAAAAGGAAAGGATACAACCAAAAGACCCCTGGATACATAAGTAAAAATAAATTATTCTGTCTCGTGTGAGGCAATCATCTCCAGATGAAGGGTCAGTGCCTGTCTGTCCATGCCCGGCATGGCCAGGTGGATAAGGCGCTCGACTCACAATCTGAGGGTCGCGGGTTCGAATCCGCATACCACCAAACATGCTCGCCCTTTCCGCCGTGGGGGCGTTATAATGTGACGGTCA